CAAGACAAAAATGATCAAGCTGGTTTTCTACAAATGAAGGAGTGACATGAATGAGGAGATGTGGCCTGCGTGTGTGCTGGCTTGGCTCAAGGCATAGGAACTGTCCTCTCCCACTCAGAGTATTCAGCAAAGCAACTACAGGGCCCTAATTAATATATAGTAATGGATTAGGAACTAAGGACCTCACTTTGGAAAATGAACTGTGGATGAAGCAAAAGGATCATTCATAATTCAGCCCATCTTGGTTCATGAATGAGAAAACACTGGCTCATAAAAGGCTGAGTGTGAAGAGCGGGTACTACTTCTTTGCAACCTCCCGCCACCCATGGGAAATCCAGAATGAATGAAATCAAAGTGCAAATTAAAGTTATGTTGTACCCTGAATTTCCACAATGGCACCAAGTCAACTCTGAGAAAGAAAGCATGCTTAAGCCAGAATGCTTAATGTTATTTCTGACACCAAAAACACCAAGCAAAACGTCCAAAATGCAAAATATAGTCCTTTCTTCATTACTATGAAGAGTAGTCACTGAAAAATATAAATCTATTCTGGGGTAAGGGATGTAATATATTGATTGTCTAACAATCTAAATGCAACGCTTAAAACTAGCAGTCACTGTCAGTCTAGAGAACATCATTGACTTCCATATAGAACCAAAGTATCACCTCAGGTTTGCAAGAATATGGTCCCCATATTCACAATGCAAGGCAGGAAATGCATAAAATATTGAGTAAAAATTCACACAAGTGAGTATAAGGGTATCTATCATTAATGCTCCCAAGAATTTCAGGAATGTAGCAAAGTGGACTCTTACACCACTGTATTTTAGCTCTATGTCTTGACTTAGAATTTGTGGCCATAACAAATGATCCGACAGAGAAGGGAACTCCAACTATATACGGGGCACAAGTCCTAGCAAATTCAGTGGAAAAAAACTCGGACGATAAGAAAGTATTTTCCGTATGGCATGTTTGAGAAATTGCTTGAATTAAGTAAACACAATGCAGGAATCCTATTATTTTATAAGACAACTCTTATGGGACATCTCAAGGAGTGATGATACCTACTCAAACGTGTTGGATCTAAATTTATTATTATGAGGTAAAGGAAATGCTAATAAATTCTGATATTATTTCCAGCACCACATTTGAATCAATTCAAGTTACTATACTCCATCTATACTTCCTAATCATAAGTTGTGGCTAACACAGTTAAGTAAATAGGGTAGCTAAAGGCTTTCCATTTAACAAACGGGGGTCTTTAACAGGAGCTGACGTATTTCCGTACATATTTATAAGGCTTAGTGGTTATTATTAGGCTATAATTGCAGTTGTTCTAACACCTAATAAGCCATGGTTGGAAAAACAAAGGCAGGTTAATTTGTGATTTCCTCTACTCATTCAGAGGCAAATTAAGTGTCAAACAGCTAATACAGAACATATTTCATTTTATGAGATTTTAATTTAATTCTGCACCATATCGTTGATGCCTTAATATAGGGTGGTTTATCTAAAAAGAGGAGCAATTTATAAACCTCTTTCAATAGAATCTTTAATGATGGGCTATGATAGCATAATTATCGCAGTGCCTGCCATCCTTCTAAACAGGATCTGTCGGCATTTCCATCAGCACAACTCCTGCCTTCCCGATGACTTATAATTTATTTTCTAAAGTTGGCTCCAGAAGAACAATCATGTGTACAAAATAATGAGAATAACCCCAATCTCTGTCTTCTTATAATTAAAAGTGTTCACTCTAAAGTCAAGTAAGCTCACTTGATCTCATTTTCTATAGGATAATTATATGGTAAGCATTGTAGAATTCAAGTTTTAGATGAAATCATTTTACTTACCCTAGTTAGTGGATTACCCTACAGTAAAGACGTGCCTGGAAGCTTTCAGTAAACTGAGTCACATGTACCAACACCAACTTCTACTGTTAATGTGACCACAGGTATCTACTTATTACCTATGTGAAGGTGTGAAAGCAACCCCGAAGGCTCATCTCTAGGGTGAGCTGGGAGAGAAACTCAGGGTATACCTTCCACGCCCGCAGCTGCTCCATTTGCTCGCCTTCAGCAAGACCTCAGTGCTTCTCCAAGTTCTTTCCCAACCTTTACTTCTACAAATGCTTCCTGTAAGTTCAAAAATTGGCTGAGGCAGAGAAGCTTCATCTGCAGGTTGTGAAACCAACACATCAAGGAGAAGTTTCCAAAGTTCACGGCACTAGTGTGCAACAAAGTAGGAGCATGACTGAACCTCCTGATGGCACCCACACTGGACCTGCATGGCTGTCCACCAAGCCTTTTATACAAAGCACCTGTCCAAATGCGGGTAGTCCCCATAAAATTATCAATGTCACTGACAGCCATACTCAAAATTTCCATGTTGAGCTTCACGGTTACCTACAGCCTTACACTCTGAACGTCAAGCAGTTACGCACCTGACTACTACTTAAAAAGTATGGCTGGGGCCAAGGAGATAGCTTGCTTAGGCACATGCAGGGACTAGGATTTGATCCCTGGCACCACATGCCGCATCAGCCCTGCCCCCACATGTGCTGAGCAGGCCACCAAGATTGGGCATGGTGGCACACACCTGTAATCCTAGCACTGGGGAAGATGAAAACAGGAGGATCACTATGAGTCTGAGGTGCACAGTGAGACCCTGTACCAAATACATTAAAAAAAAAAAGAAGAAGAAGAAGAAGAAAGAAAGAAAGTATGGCTACAGTGGGGGTTTAGCTCAAAGGAGAAATTCCTGCTTGGCAAGTGCAAGGTCCTGAATTTGATTCTTGGTGCAGGAAAAATAAATGGGCTAAAATAAAAATACATACAAAGTGCCACTTGGACAGTTCCTGGGACAGCCTGGGAGGTACACCTGAAGGAAGCTTAACAGGGTGAATATAAGCAGGAATTCAAAATACAGAGAAGGATGACCATTGAGGGCAATCACGTGTCACAGAGGCAGCCAACTCCTTGGAGACCACTTCACAAGCTCAGGGTCTGTCCCCTTCCCCCAAGATCCTGTAAGGATGAGTGAGAAGTCTAGCAGTCCCAAGAGGCTGCAGACCCATGAGCTCCCCATGTTAACCATGAAAAATTTCCATGTTGAGCTTCACGGTTACCTACAGCCTTACACTCTGAACGTCAAGCAGTTACGCACCTGACTACTAACGGAATACTTAGTCAGTTGCTGCTAAAGTATCTCAAAGCTTGGCTGTAAAAGTAACAAGTGGTAAAAAGCATAGAAATCCAGAGAGTTCATGAAAATATTCCTAAATCAGACTCAGGGGCAGTGGTGAAGAACACGGAGAAGATACAGAAATGCCCAGAACACACAGTGAAGGTGACAGGAACTTCTGCTTTTGCCATACCCGGGCAAAGAAGCAAGAGTTGGGCTTTTCACTGATGAATGAAATGAATACATGGCCTTCCTATCTGAATCAGTTACAAGCCAAACTATCACAAACCTAGAGAAAGTAATTTTAATTTATTTTTAAATTCATTTCTACAAATTTTGCTAGAACATGATTTTTGAAAGAATGAAGAACTCTAAAAGTTCCACCGAAAATCTGATTTACATTACTTCATCCCAGGGACTGGAGTCTGGGAGGAATTAGCCATCCCTGTCTCCACAGCCCCTCTGCCATGGGGCAGGTCCTCATCTGAGGTCCGTGTGGTTCCATCTGTACCATAAAAGCTTTGCATCACGGGGTGAGTTACATGTCATGTTGCAGACTGAATCTGGAATTTCCTTCCCTTTGTATAGGGCTCTTAACGGGCCCCTCAGTTTTTATGTGAGTGTATTTTTAGCACGCTTCAGAACCCTCGAGTACTTACTTGTGTTTCAGTGAAAAGTCAAAGAACAAGCCCAAGTTTCTGCATTCTCCCTCTATAAATACCCACTTCTCCTTTAATGCTTAGGGACGTCTGCGGCACAGATTTATTACTTACCTCAGGGCAAATCTGCGCTGAAATTACAATTCAGTAATGGGAGATAGATCCAAAAAACTGTGGGTAAAATATTGTATGTGTACACGGGCATGTAGTTAGGACTGTTAATATCAATTAATTCTGTTCACAGAGGAGGACTTGTTTTAAAACAACTTCATTTTTCTTCGGCATAATATGTAATTACACAGCTGTAACTAATAGCCATGGAGATGCTATCTACCATCTAAATAACCAGCATTATTCTTCAAAGTAGTATTTGTGCTTTTCTAACTTTACTGACTCAGAATGAAGGGTGATTATTACATATAACTAAATGTGCATTTCAAGACCTTTAGCAAGGGACAGCTCCTCCCAGAGAACGGCTCCAATTATTATTGTATATGACAGTATTTTGGACACAATGCTGTTTTGGTTTGCAAATCCGCTGTTTCTTTTTTCTTTCAAACCGAAGATGATATTTATTTCTACAAGATTTTGTTTCCTTTCCTAATGGATGTTATCACCACCATTCTTTCTTTTTATCTTTGTGGAAACCCGGCACTCTGCCACATGTGCCATTTTGTTTGGGTGACACACCCATTAATCAAGTGTGTGTTGTTGCACATACCACGGGGGCCATGAAAATTCACCATACAAAAATGCTTTAGGATTTACTGGGATCCCCAATAGTGGACTTCCATGGAACAAAAAAATTTCAGCATGAAAAACTTCAAACCTAGTTCTACCAAATACATATCTCAAGCGGTAACCTTCTGCTAAGCTTCTACTTTTTAATTTTGGATTTACAGCCCACAGAGCACACGTCAGCAAAATATATAGGGAATGCTTGCCAGCTACCTTGGGTGACAGGCATTCCTCAGGCAGCAGCAGGGATCTGCTTCAGTGAATCCAGGAACAGACAGGCTTGCTGTGTTTCAAAAGTAAATCTTACACTTCTATCATATCTTCAAAGCCCAGTAGACGTGCCATTAACCAAAGATCCCAAGACCATCAAAGTGGGCATTTTGTTCCATTTCGTTAATGGGTAAAGTTTTTAATACTTACACATGCAATGGAGGAATCGGAGATGGGTCGTAATGGTAACGGCCTTCGTGATGTCTGGCATCAATTGGGACAGGAGGATGGAAGGCAGGAAATAGATGAGGCGGGTCTGAAACAGAAACAAAGCCCACCTTTTGAAAATGAGCACTGTAAAACAGCTTTGCAACTCACCAGACCACACCGCTGTGTGGTGTGCTCTTCATTGCGGATCCCAAATGATCTGACTTAGGAATTTAGGGACTCACTCTTGCAAGCTACAAATGAAGCTCACCAGGGCACTGCACATATCCCACAGGGTAAATGGTACAGAGCACAGCTCGGGATGCAATTTCAGCTGAGACCAGAAAGTGAAGAAGAGCGGCGCAGTGGGGGCCCTGCTCCGGAAGGCAGACTAAGGCTGCCCAGAGAGAGGGGCAGGGGCTGCCCCAGGAAGCCAAGAGAGAAAAATCTCATGACCAAGTAAATTTCAGGCAATGCTATTGTGCCCTTGAGGTTTTCAGACAGTCTTTTCTAAAGTTTCTGCTACACTTTGTGTGTATACAAACAAATGCAAACATAGTTTCTTTTTCTAAATTAAAATGCATGTTCCCTCTCTCCTTGGCCTGTATTGGGCCTCCATAATCCCAAGGAGACAAGCTTCCCCTCTCCCTTGGAGTAAAGGAGATTCAACCCAGGACCTTCACACTGAGCTCCGTCCCAGCTCTTTCCCTCCTTCCCTCCCTCCCTCCCTCCCTCCCTCCCTTCCTTCCTTTTTATTTTGAGACAGGGTCTCACTAAGTTGCTAAGTTGCCCATGATGGGCTTGAATTTATAACCCTCCCACCTCAGCTTCCTGGGGTGACAGAAGGACAGCTGGATGCCATCACCCCTGGTCAGGGCATTAAATGTATTCCTTGGTCAGGGAAACTGAGAGCGTTACTACTGACAAAGATGAGTAGATCCACTCAGGCTGAGTGAAGGAAACTGCAGGGCACCTCAGGGCGGCCCTCACGTCCCCTTCCTGCCCTCACTCTGCTTCTCTCTCATGGGCCCCCTACTTTCCAGGAGCTTTTACTACCATTTAGTCCTTGTAACCTATGCCCACGGCCTCCTGCAAATATAAAAATGAACTCTATTTTAAAAATAGTGATTCACGGCGCCAACTGGCAAGTTTTGCGCTGTCTTGTTCACAGTACTGTCAATTGAGTCCAAAGCCCTGCTACCACTGAGCACATCCTCAGCCCTTTTATTTCTTATTTCGAGATAGGGTTTTGCTCAGTTTCCCGGTGTGGCCTGCAACTTGTGATCCTCCTTCCTTAGGTCTGGAGTTACAAGACCTTGGGCCTTCCCAAGCCCAGCTTGAAAACAAGAGTACTAACAGATTTTAAGTTAGAACCATGGTGGATGCTCCACAAATATATTGAAGTTTTTCCCATGTTTCAAGAAACCAAATCAAGGAAGCCAGAACCTGGAGGTCTGACTCCACAGCAAAGCCCAGCGTTACTTCCAAAAGTCTGAAGACTTATCTTATCCTGGAATGGCTCTGGGGATGGTGAAGAAGCCACAGGACCTGGCCAGGTCCCAGCACAGGGCCGCACCCCAAGGTCAGCAACCACGCCCCCTAGTGGTGAGATGGTTCCAGATGACTAAAGCATCTGTGCCTCTCAGATTCACACAGCTCAGATTTTCTCCCCTACACCATTTCTCTATTTTCCAATTTTTTAAAAAATCAATGTGGATGTGTAATAAATACTTTTCAAAATTTGTAATAAATGACTTCTCTTGCTTTAAGCCTTGTCCTTGCTGCCTTTCTTAGATAATCCATGACTACAAGTGTAGAATAAAAATTAAAATGAAAGAGTGAAATATCAATGGAATTGGATGTGTGGATGTATGGCCTACCAGGGAGAAGCCTGAAGCTGTCACCCTACCAGTGTTTCACCAGATCTAGAATCCAGCATGGGGGTGCATGTGTAGAGTCCCAGCCCTTGGGCAAGATAAGGCAGGAGGGCTGCATAATGGAGCCCAGCCTGAGTGACTCAGCAATGCCTTGTCCCCAAATTAAAAATAAAAAGGGGCCGAGCATATAACTCAGCGCAGAGACCCTGGGTTCAATCCCTAGCAAACCATCCCCCACCATCCAATAGGGACATTGTACTGGCAATGTCACATTTATCTTCATGTATTGTGCACTTGTTACAAGATTGGGTGGGAAGGGACGAGTGGTATAGAATAAGTGAGGAGTCCTTTTGCTATTAACCAAATCATGGTTAATACCATGGTCACTGTGACAGTGCCGGAAACTCAACAGGTGAGGAACATATTCACTACTTGATGGTTTGTCACACTTCAGACATGCCATGGAGTCCATATGAAAAATCAATACCATTTTAAATTCATTAATTAAGATTTGCATGACGTGGAAGTCAGTTCTTTTGTAGTGCAAATATTAAGTTGATTTGCCAAGTTCCAAAGTTTGAGTTGACAGCTTATCTGCAACGTTGGGAAATTCATTTTTATGCCCAACTCAGCAATCCTGATGATTAAAAGCAGCCCCCTGGAGAGCCCAAACATTCTACTTGACTTCACTGTTTTTGATGAAAACTTTCTCATCCTCAAGATATCATAAAATTGAGAGTAACCTTTGACATGAGTTTGAAAGTCTGCTACATAGTCAGTGAACAATACATTCTGGGTTTTAAATTTTGAAACAAAGCCATGCTATTAAGTGCCAAATCTGAGGGTAAGGAAATAGAAATACAAATAGCCATCAAATACACTTTTCTTTCCACACCTTCTACCTGTTGCTGAGGATACAAACCTACTTGCTTCCCTTAGATGTCTTACTCACACATGCCATCTGCTCTTGGAAATCAGAAAAATAGACTAAGAACTATGTACAACTTCAGCAATGATTAAGTACAATCTCCCTCCTCAGGGATTCTCAAACACCCCAGGTATGTGGCTCTTTTGAGGGATACTGTGATAACTAAGAGTTTGAAGATACAGAGTCTTACTTTCTTATTCTTTGGTTCTGGATTGATTCTTCATTGAATTCGCTCCACCAGGTAAACTGAATGTGCACTATACTTGGTTTTCTCATTTGTATAGCTATGAATCATGATGAAGTCCAAAGCCACATTACACACATGTGCGTGTACACACACACACACACACACACACACACACACACAGAGGGCTAAATTCATTTCCATTTAGTACATGCTCCCTATATCCCAGAAACAATAGGCATTATCTTTTCTATGCATATTTATAATGAAGTGGAAGTGATTACATGCAGTGGGAGGAAGACCACCCAGTTAATCCTACAAAAGCAAAAATATGAAAACCTCTTCCCCCAGGAAAACCCATGGCCCCATCACTGGCATTGAAAAATCTTTGCCTTCTTTTCATTTCCAAGGAATTATTTTTCCAGGAATTGAACTCATTCTTTCACCCCCTCCTCCTTCCAGAAAGAAAGAGAAAATGACCAAGTACTAGAAAATATATTTGAGAGGAATATATAAGATACAATTCCTGGGACATTCAGTAGCCATATTTCTCAACTGCTGAGTCTAGTATCTGGGGAGTTTAAAAGCAAATCCTGGGCATAGCTTGTTATACTGTTTATACTGTGTTTATTATGTCCTGAGAAAAGTTGTGAATTCTGCATTCTGGAATTAGGTGTAAATAAAGAACAGAAAATTAATGCACATGATCTGATCTGACCTGAAGACATCTGGTTTTAGCTTATGTGTTTTATAATTTCTATCTTCTTGATTAAGTTAAAAATGGCTTTTCAGGACTGATGAAATGAACATGAACAATAGTGCCTGTGTTGGTTATTAGCAGAAATCACACCTCTAAAGTCACTTTTTGGAAAACAGCAATGGAACACCCATCTTCTGATTTAAGATGAGCATGCAGCTTAAAGACTGGAGCTTAAGGTGCTAAAGTGAGCTAGAATAGAAAGCAGTGTAAGCAGGAGTCCTTTAGCACAGGGGACAGACATGGGTCCTAACCTGCTTCTCTAAAGGTGTTCTGGAAGCTTCAAAGCTCAGAACTGCCTTATATCCTGGCGTGTCCCTTCTCGGTGGGCCAGTGGCATATTCCATCCCAGACCCAAAAAACTGTGTAAAAAAACCCATATGACAAGAAGAGGCCCCTGTCACTAGCAGCCACCATAATTATCCTTCTCACAGTAGTTTATTATTTACACAGGAAGAGCAGGGCTGGGGTGCATCATAATTCAAGTGTATGTGTAATAAGTCACCGTACCACAGCCATCTCTGCACTGCCCCTTGACAAAACACCCTATGATGACTTCTCCAAAGTCAGGCGAAAACTGCTGAAGCAGAAGGAAGTGCCAAGAAACCTGGCTACCTCCTATTTATCATACAATTTCCTGACTGATGGCTCCACAAACCAGCTGCTAAGTGCTGTGTACTCTACTGTCAGCAAACTAACACGCTAAATGGAAGACAGGGAGAATAATGTGCAGAACTGGTGGGATCAATTTTCCTGAGGGAATTAAAATTCCGCCAGGTGGGGTGGGTCTTTGGGGCAGTGGTGAGCGGTTGGCTATACATGCTTATGGTTGCAAAGATGATTTATTACAGACTTGCGGGAGGTTTGACTATTGTACCAGAGTCTTCTTAACAAAACAGAGATTTAGAGTTCTTACTATCCCAGCCTTGCGTGGCGTAGTCTTTAAATTCTGTATGTATAAAACCATGTTGATATGTGTTTAAATTGAAATGCAAAGCAAAAATATTTGTGCTGGGTAGACTTGTCAGTGTTCAATTTCTCACTGGCTGTCATTACACTCAGTGTTAAGGGTCTCATTAGGAAAGAAAGGCATTGATTTTTTTTTTTTTTTTAGGTCTCTTTACAACAGACTGCACAGATCATAAAACCTGTAGCCAGAAAATAACCAAAAAAGACACTTGGAGATTTATCTGCTGTTGCATCCCTTTTCTGAGAAATAGTTTTTAGTATCCTCGGGCTATGAGATCTCTTGGATGCCATCCTTGGGAAACTTGTCTTTTGAGGTTTGAAATTTACATACAAAAATTGTAGATTAAAAAAGAGAGATCAAAGCGGGCTCAGCGAGTGCCCTGGAGGAGTCATT